TCAGGCGAAACGAGCCGGACCACTTCTCGCGCGACATCTCCGAAGTCAGAGTTTCGAGGATGTCTCAGGCGAAACGGGCCGGACCACCTCGCGCAAGGCATCGCAAAACTCAGAGTTCCGAGGATGTCTCAAGCGAAACGGCCCGGACCACCTCTCGCGCGGCGTCCCGGAGCGCAACTGTTCGAGGATGTCTCAGGCGAGACGGCCAATCCCGGCCAGCTCAGAAACGAGAGTTGTGAGGATGTTTCAAGCGAAACGGCCAAACCAATAAAATTGTTGTGAGGATGTCTCTGCTCCGCGTTCCCTCGGCCGGAGTTAGTTTCTATCACAACAGCACCCCGTTCAGCAAGCTGTTTGGGGAACAACTGTATGAAGAATGTGCGTCGTATCGCTGTCTGTCTGTTGTGCGCATGCGATGAGTGTCCTGTGGTCGTGATGGCATGCTGTGTTGTGCGAGTGCGTGTCACTTGTGATGTGAGCGCGGTGTTCGCCGCGTATGTTGCGTATGCAGTGTGGTGTGCCTGTGTGCGTTGCGTTGTCCGTGGCTGTCCCATCATATATGTATATATATAATATAATATATACATGTATATGCGTGTTTCGCGTGCGCGCTGTGCTGCGCTACGCGCAAAGGGCGCGCGTGCGTGCGTGCGGCCAGGATTGGCGGCACCAGCTGAAAAAGGTATCTACATGTCGTAACATTACGCATGCGGTGCTATGATAGGCTACTGGAAGCCCGCGAGAGCTTCAGAGGCGTCCTCCTGCAAAGTCGTCCGCTTCCCCAACGAAATAAATTGTTGGCATCCATCGGAAGGAGTTGCTGCATCGGCGTAGTCGTCTTCACCCAGCAACCCTCCGACATCGGCGCCAGCATTTCCGAGGCGCTTGACGTAAAAATTCAAGTATTTCACACCCTTGTCCGTGCAGCCGCGTACGACCTTCAGCTCCACAGGGCCAAGCTTGGTCCAGCCGGGCATCTGGAGAGTCGCGCCGTTCACCTCCTCGGTGCTGAAGAGAAATCCGCCTGTCCGCACCTCGTTGGCCCACGTCCCTGTGATGTTCAGCGTCTGGAAATCCGCCGCCGTGCCCCCTGGCACTCCCAGTCGTCCCAGAATGCCAAGTGCTGTCTGGCAGGGATCCTGTGGATCTTCTTAAGCACCTCCCCACCTCAGGACGCACTTCCTTGCGTGCACCAGACCCTCTCCCGGGGCCGCAACCTTCGAAAAATACCACCGATTCGCATTCTCCCAGGGCTACGCGCGTCGCCCGGCGGCTTCCCGCATGACCTCGGGGAGGGCCATTTTCGGCACCGCTCAAAAAGACGCTGGCCTCCGAGGACGGAAATTCAAGCCTCCCGACCCAAGAGGCCGCCAAGATGACCCCACGAGGCCCCCAAGAGGCCCCAAGGAGCCCCCAAAGGGCTTCAAGAAGCTGCAAAGAGGCGGGATATGCAGAAACCGACTATATGCCACCGGTTCGCGATCCCGACGCCCAAATCCCTCGTAGACAATGAAAAATCGGCGCTCCCGAGGCCAAGATGTCTCAAAGACGGCTCAAGATACCGCAGCTCCACGAAGACGGCCCAATTTGCTCTCAAGATCACCAATGATGGCTGTCACCTGCGACGATTTCGGCGCGTGTCCCACAGAAGCCCAGGACAGCCCCAAGACGCCCCAAATGAGGTCTATGAGCGCTTCTCGAGAAGTGAAGACAATAGATGTCGCACGTGGCGGATTCACCCTTCCTTTTCCTCATGCTCATCCAGCTCCTCCACCTTCCCTCCTCAACATCATCCTGATATATTCAAATGCCATCACTATCAGGATCTCAATCACCGTCCTGGTCTTCATCATCGTGCACATCAAAATCGTCATCGGCATCAATATCATCATCCTAACCATCATCATCATCATCACCATCATCAGCACCATCGAGCCTGGAGATACAATGCATCACAAGTTAGGGTACCCGCGCTCCCTCGCGCAAAGACCACCGATATACCTGGGCTGGCATGGTGGTGGGACGTGCCGCAGGCAGCTGGATACAGTTCCCCACAATGTGCGCCCAACTGGCGCGCATCCGCCATGACGGTGAGCAGCGCGTCGTCGCCGGCCTTTCCGCGCGGGATCTGGATCAAAACGGCCTTGCCAGGCCTCCTCAAATCAAACCGTTCGCCGTAGATGTTTTGCAAATGCGGGTCGCCCGTTGCAGACGCTGGCATCGGTGCGACCGTCGGTGCTGGTGTCGGCGCAAGCGTCGGCACTGCATGCGGAACGACTGCAAATCGGGCCACCTTTCCAGAATTCGCCGGCCCAACGGGCCAGAGGCGTGCTAAGATCTCCGCCAACTGCTCAACAATATTTCTGGTTCGCGCGCGCGGGGCGGGTCATGGGGGTCCCCGGACGAAAAAAAACCCGGCAAGGTCCCGGCAAGGTCGCGGCAAGGTCCCGGCAAGGTCCCTTTTCGGAGCCCAGGAGGGTTCCAAACGGTCCAAGAGAGGCCCGAGAAGCCTTCGAGACGGTCCAAGAGAGCCGGGAGACACCGAAATGTTACTCCCAAGTGCCTGCGATGGCCTCAAGACGGCCCAACAGGCCTTCAAGACGCCCCAAGAGGTCCCTAGGCGGCGCCCCAAGAGGGCCCCCACAAGCAAAAATCGTCCCATTCCCTTGGGAAAACGCGCATTTTTTACATATCCGCCTCTTCGTCTCTCACACCTTTCAAGGCGGCCCAAGAGGCCCCCAAGATCACCCCAACACGGCCCGAGAGACCCTCAAGACCGCCCAAACACGGCCCAAGAGCGCTCCAAGAAGGCCCAACAACCCTCAAGAACTCTTTCTCGCAACCCAGGAGGGCTCCAAATCGGTGCAAGAGGGGCCCGAGAAGCCCCCCAGACGGTCCAAGAGAGCCGGGAGACGCCGAAATATCACTCCCAAACGCCTGCGATGGCCTCAAGACGGCCCAACAGGCCTTCAAGACGCCCCAAAAGGTCCCCAAGAGGTCCCTAAGCGGCGTCCCAAGAGGGCTCCCACAAGCAAGAATCGTCTCGCTCCCTTGGGAAAGCGCGCATTTTTAACATATCCGCCTCTTCGTCTCTCACACCTTTCTAGGCGGCCCAAGAGGCCCCCAAGATCACCCCAACACGGCCCGAAAAACCCTCAAGACCGCTCAAAGACGGCCCAAAAGCGCTCCAAGAAGGCCCAAGAAACCCTCAAAAACTCTTTTCCGGAGCCCAGGAGGGCTCCAAATCGGTCCAAGAGGGGCCCGAGAAGCCCTCCAGACGGTCCAAGAGAGCCGGGGGACGCCGAAATATCACCCCCAAACGCCTACGATGGCCTCGAGACGGCCCAACAAGCCTTCAAGACGCCCCAAGAGGTCCCTAAGCGGCACCCCAAGAGGGTTCCCACAAGCAGAAACCGTCTCTTCCCTTCGGACAACGTGCATGTTTTAACATATCCGCCTCTTCGTCTTTCACACCTTTCAAAGCGATCCAGGAGGCCCCCAAGATCACCCCAAGACGGCCCGAGAGACCCTCCAAACCACTCAAAGACGGCCCAAGAGCGCCCCAAGAAGGCCCAACAAACCCTCAAGACGGTCCAAGAGGCCCCAAGACGGCCCCATGATTGAGGTCCACAGGGGCAGCCTGAACGGAAATGTTGAGCTTCCCGCCCAAACACGCCCCCGAAATGCCCCTACAAGCCCCCAGGTAGCCCCACGAAGCCCCCAAGAGAGCCCCAAGAAGCCCCCAACAGGCCGCAAGAAAGCCCCAAGAGGCCCCCAAGAGACCCCAGGAAACTCCCAGGAGGCCCCCAAGAGACCAGGCAGACCCCCCCAAGAGACCACCAAGAGGGCCCACCCAGAGCCATCCACGAGGCCTCCCAAAGTTCCCAAGAAGCTCCCACGAAGTTTCCAAGGGCTCCCAAGACCCCCCAAGAACCCGCGATGGCACAATACGGGCCGGCGGAATGAGCGAAGCGATTCAATATCCAACACCAAATAATTCACGGTTTTTGTAATACGGGTTCACGTACCCGTAAATCCCGTCTGTGAAACCGCCATAGCATCCCCTGAGCTCGCCGTCCTCGTCGGCCAAGCTGAGGACTTCAATGGTGTTGAACCCAGACAGCGGGAAACGAACAACTTTTGAAAATTGATGGTATGGAACAACGTAGCCGTACGTCCCGTCTGTAAAGCCGCCGCCGAACCCCCTGAGCCCGCTGTCCCAGGTTTCCAAGTCGAGGATCTCGACATTGTTGAACCCTGACAGCGAGAAACGAACGACTTTTCCAGAATGTGGTCCGCCGTCTTCGAACCACGGGACCAGGTATCCGTGGACCCCGTCCGTGAAGCCGCCATTAAAACTGCGAACCCCAACCGCTAGGGCCTCGACATTGTTGAACCCAGACAACGAGAAACGAACAACTCTTCCAGCTAGGTTCAACGACAGCGGAATTAAATACCCGTGAGTCCCATCTGTAAATCCGCCGCTGAACCACCCTACGTAGCCCTGGCCCAAGCTGAGGACCTCGACGTTGCTCAACCCAGACAAGGAAAAACGAGCGACTTTCCCGTTCGTCGAAATCGCGTACCCGTAGCTTCCGTCCGTAAATCCAAAACTCATGCTATTGAGATCGCCGTCCGTGGTAGCCAAGTTGATGACATCGACACTGTTGAACCCTAGCAGCGAGAAGCGAACAACTTTTCCGGTACGGCTGATCACATACCCGAAGGTCCCAGCAGGAAACGCGCCAGCGCAGCTTTGGATGTCGCTGTCCGCGGCAGTCAAATTCAGAACCTCGACGTTGTTGAACCCCGCCAACGAAAAACGAGCGACAAGCCCCGTGACCCAGCTAGCCATGTACCCGTGGGCCCCGTCCGAAAAGCTGTTACGAAGTGCTACAAGGTTGCTGTCCGTGTCGGCCAAATTGAGGACCTCGACGGTGCTGAAGTCTCTCGTCGTGTCCTGCGCATGAGTACTCATTCGCGAGGCGTTGTGCTTAGAGAAGATACGATGAGCACGATATCCCGCCTGCATCACCTCGGCGTTCGCGGCGGGCATCTCGTTCTGCAAGAGAAACGCCACCACGCATGCGGTGCACTGCGCCTTCCCAATAGCGAGCATCAGGAAACTGGACGAAACAGGGGATCCAAGAAATGAATGTGAAAGAAGGTGCACGGATAAAGTGCTGACCGAAAAGTAACTGCCTTGAACCTGAAGAAGCTGTGTTAGCGCTGCCTTTCAGACCCTTGAGCCAGTCTGGGGGGCGCCTCCGATGATGGGCGTTGCCGAAGAGTTTCCCTCTAGACATGTCTTTCGAGTGGGAAATGACCTGGGGAGCGGAAACAAATCAAGAACCCCTTCCCGCAAAGGGGAACTGCTTCTCAAACAAACATGATCGACCCACGAACCCGGAAAGGAATATAGAAATGTAACGCATGGCAACGTTTTCAAAGACACCTGATTGGGTGACGGGCAAGTGCAATGCTGATTGTATCGATCTTGATGTACCGTGCCGAAGGCTGTGCTGTGCTACACCGTGCTGAATTGCGATGTGCCATGCCGCGGTTGTGCTCTATAGCGTCGTGGATCGAGTCCTCCTTTGCATCCGAGTCCTGACCGAACTGATCTGGATCTTAAGCTCGAGCTGCCTGAACAAATATTAGCTGCCCCAGAGCTAATTGACAAGGGGGCATGCCAGGAGGACGCGCCGCGAAACGTCCCAAGGGACGCGCCAGGCGGCGTGCCAGGGGACGTGCCATGGGGTCGCACCGCCGGACGTGCCAAGGGGACGCGCTACGGAACGTGCCAATGGACGTGCCACGGAATGTGCCAAGGGACGCGCCACGCGACGTGCCAGGGGGACTCGCCAAGGGACGCCCCACGGAACGTGCCAAGTTGCAATGCTGAGTGTCTCGATCTTGATGTACCGTGCCGAAATCTGTGCTGTGCTGCGCCGTGCCGAATCGCGATGTGCCATGCCGCGATTGTGCTCTATAGCCTCGTGGATCGAGTCCCCCCTTGCATCCGAGTCCTGACCGAACTGATCTGGATCTCAAGCTCGAGCTGCCTGAACACATAGTAGCTGCCCCAGAGCTAATTGACAAGGGGACATACCAGGAGGACGCGACGCGGAACGTCTCAAGGGACCCGCCAAGCGACGTGCCAAGTGACGTGCCATGGGGACGCACCGCGGGACGTGCCAAGGGGACGCGCTACGGAACGTGCTGGGGACAAGCGTTTCGCTCGAGGCATCCTGCCAACATCCTCAGAATTCCTGCGCGCGGGACGCGGCACGCGCGAGACATCCTCAAAATTCTTGCGAGCGGGACGTGAAAACAAGCATTTCGCCTGAGACATCTTCTGAATTCTGGACCCCCCACGAGGACCCCCACGAGGCCCCCGCTCGAGACATCCCCAAATTTTGCAAAACCAGCGTTTCGCTCGAAACGTCTTCAACAAATAATGAAAAATTATCCCAGCGCGACCCTACCTAGCAGTTGGAGCCCCTAGGAAAGCAGCATAAGCTAAGCTAAGCTAAGCTAAGCTAAGCTAAGCTAAGCTAAGCTAAGCTAGCTAAGCTAAGCTAAGCTAAGCTGAGATAAGCTAAGCTAAGCGAAGCTAAGCAGCGGTAAGCTAAGCTAAGCTAAGCTAAGCTAAGCTAAGCTAAGCTAAGCTAAGCTAAGCTAAGCTAAGCTAAGCTAACATGCGATAAGCTAAGCTAAGCTAAGCTAAGATAAGCTAAGCTAAACTACGCTAAGCTAAGCAAAGCTAGGCTAGGCTAAGCTAAACTAAGCTAAGCTAAGCTAGGCTAGGCTAAGCTAAACTAAGCTAAGCTAAGCTAGGCTAAGCTGAGCTAAACTAAGCTAAGATGAGACAAGGAAAGCTAAGCTAAGATAAGCTGAGCTAAGCTAAGCTAAGGTCAGCTAAGGTAAGGTAAGCTAAGCTAGGCTAAGCTAGGCTAGACTAAGCTAAGCTAAGATGAGATAAGCTAAGCTAAGCTAAGCTAAGCTTGGCTAAGCTAAGCTAAGCTAAGCTGAGGTAAGGCAAGTTAAGCTAAGCTAAGCTAGGGGAACCCAGGGGGCGCAACTGGGGGAACCAGGGGGGCGCAACCGGGGGAACCGCCCGGGGTGAGTTACACTGCCCGCCCCCTTTAGCCAACAAATTATCCCAGTGCGACCCTACCTAGGAGTTGGAGCATTCAGGAAAGCAACAGCTAAGCTAAGCTAAGCTAAGCTAAGATGGGGTAAGCTAAGCTAAGCTAAGCTAAGCTAAGCGAAGCGAAGCGAAGCTAAGCTAAGCTAAGCTAAGCGAAGCGAAGCGAAGCTAAGCTAAGCTAAGCTAAGCTAAGCTGGGCTAGGCAAAGCTAAGCTAAGCTAAGCTAAGCTAAGCTAAGCTAAGCTAAGCTAAGCTAAGCTAAGCTAAGCTAATCTAAGCTAAAGCTAAGCGAAGCGAAGCTAAGCTAAGCTTAGCTAAGCTAAGCTGAGCTGAGCTAAGCTAAGCTAAGCTAGGCTAGGCTAGGCAAAGCTAAGCTAAAGCTAAGCTAAGCTAAGCTAAGCTAAGCTAAGCTAAGCTAAGCTAAGCTAAGCTAAGCTAAGCTAAGCTAAGCTAAGCTAAAGCTAAGCGAAGCGAAGCTAAGCTAAGCTTAGCTAAGCTAAGCTGGGTGAACCCAGGGGGCGCAACTGGGGGAACCAGGGGGGCGCAACCGGGGGAACCGCCCGGGGTGAGTTACACTGCCCGCCCCCTTTAGCCAACAAAGTAAGAACCCTTCTAGGCAGAGCCTAGGTAGGGAAGTAAGAACCCTTCTAGGCAGAGCCTAGGTAGGGAACAAGCATTTCGCTCGAGACATCCTGCCAAAATCCAAGGAAGTCCTGGCAAAACGAGCGAATTAGTCGAGACATCCTCGACATTCCTGCGCGCGGGACGCGGCACGCGCGAAACATCATCGGAATTCCTGCGCGCGGGGCGCTTTTCCGTGTCGCGGTCGGCTAGTCGGCTCTGCAATAACCAGGACCATCCGCTCGACAGGACCCACCTCCCCGTCCAAACAAGCGTTTCGCTCGAGACATCCCAAACTCTGCAAAACCAGCGTTTCGCTCGAGACATCCTCAACAAAGTCTGAAAAACAAGCGTTTCGCTAGGGACATCCTCAAAAATAATTCCGCCGACCCTACTCCCGCACGTAATTTATCGCAGAATAATTTCGCCGGCCCATCAGCCGTCAGATCCCGGGGTAAACCTCTAAAAGAGAACCCTGGGCTCGAGCCCTTTCGGGGAATAGAAAAAAATAACTTTGAAAAGGACCCCCCCCCACTAGAAATCCGCTCTAAAGGGCGAAACCACTTCTGGAGAGGACCCCCCCTACAAAACCCAATCTAGAGAAGGAGAAACCTTCCCTAGAGCAGGATAACCATTAGACACCTATTCAAAATTCGGAGATACCTTCGTAATAAAGGGACCTCCCCCCTTCAGAAGCTCGTCTAAGAGAAAATCTTGCTCTTCCGGAGGGGGGGTTAGAAATTGAAAACCATGATCGAACCCACGAACCCGGAAAGGAATATAGAACTGTAACTATGGGCTGCGTTTTCAAAGACACCTGATTAGGTGTCGGGCAAGTGCATTGCAATGCTGAGTGTTTCGATCTGGATGTACCGTGCCGAAGGCAGTGCTGTACTGCGCCGTGCTGAACTGCGATGTGCCACGTGACGATTGTGCTCTATAACGTTGTGCATCGAATTCTCCTTTGCATCCGAGTTTCTGACGAAATGATTCTGGATTTAAGCTACGAGCTGCCTGCAACACTAGTAGCTGCCCAGAGCTAATGGACACGGGAGACATGCCAGGAGGACGCGCCGCGGAACGTCCCAAGGGACGCGCCAGGCGGCGTGCCAGGGGACGTGCCCTTGGCACGCACCGCAGGACGTGCCCAGGGGACGCGCTATGGAACGTGCCAATGGACGTGCCGCGGGACGTGGCAGGGGAGGTGCCGCGCGACGTGCCAGGGGGACTCGCCACGGGATGCGCCACGGAACGTGCCAAGGTACGTGCCAAATTGCATGCTGGTGTTATCGTCTTGATGTACCGTGCCGAAATCAGTTGCTGTGCTGCGCCGTGCTGAATTGCGATGTGCCATGGCGCGATTGTGTTATATAGAAAAGCTCGTGGGATCGAGTCCTCCTTTGCATCCGAGTCCTGAACCGAAACTGATTGGATTTAGCCTCGAGCTGCCAGTACACATAATAGCTTCCCCAGGCTAATTTGACTAATTTTGGACATGCCAGGAGGACGCGACGCAGAACGTCCTCAAGGGGACGCGCCAGGCGACGGAACGTGCCTGGGGGGCGCGCCATGGGGACGCAACGCGGGGCGTGCCAAGGGGACGCGCTACGGAACGTTGCTGGGGACAATCGTTTCGCTCGAGACATCCTATGAAAATCATCCGAATTCCTACGCGCGGGACGCGGCACGCGCGAGACATCCTCTGAATTCCTGCGAGCGCGACACGAAAACAACATTTTCGCCTGAGACATCCTCTGAATTCGGGCACCCCACGAAGCCCCCGCTCGAGACATCCCCCAATTTTGCAAAACCAGCGTTTCGCTCGAGACATTTCCTCAACAAAATTATGAAACACATGCGTTTCGCTCGAGACATTCCTGTCAAAATCCCAAGAAATCCAAATACCCGCGCGCGGGACGCTGCACGCGCGAGACATCCTCAGAATTCCTGCGCGAGGGGCGCTTTTCCGTGTCGTGGTCGGCTCTGCAAAACCAGCGTGTCGCTCGAGACATCCTCAACAAATTCTGGAAACCAAGCGTTTCGCTCGAGACATCCCCAACTCTGCAAAACCAGCGTCTCGCTCGAGACATCCTCAACAAATTCTGAAAAACAAGCGTTTCGCTCGAGAGATCCTCAAAAATAATTTCGCCGGCCCTACTCCGTGCGTGCCCGCTCGCAAAAAAAATTCGCCGGCCCAAGTCGCAGGGGGGCCGGGGGGTTAACCTACTAATAAAAGGGAACCCTGGGCCCGCGCCCTTTCCGGGAAAAACAGGTTCCTGTGGTGCCGGAGGTGGGGGTGGGGGGGGGCGTTGCGTTATACCCCCCCCCCCTCCCACCCCTCTATAACGCCCATTATCGCCGAAAATAATGAAACGCGCGTCTCCCTTCCCCTCCCCGACCGTACCCTCCTCCCCTCCCCAGCCCTCCCTCCCCGACCGTCGATTCCCCCCTCCTCCCTGGGGGCGGCCGGCACGAGCGGGCTCCGAGTTCCGCCAGCGCGGGCCGCGGCGTGGCGGGACGAGGCC